TCCAAGTGGAATGTCTTTTTCCTCTGATATAAATAATATATATTTTTAGTTTTTTTTTATAACAGTGAGTCAGAAAAGTGTGTTATTAAACGTGCTGGGAATATCTAACAAACCATTCGGTCGTTCGTGTTTTATTTTATTTTATTTAGAAAGCTTGTGGCCGAACCGGACGTTATGTCTTTCGGTATCTACCAAAGATATTTTTGGGACTTTCTTTTCCGGCGTTGTCATATGACGCCAACGAGGCAAGTCGTCGACACTCCCTCAACCTCTGAGGCAGTTTTCTGTCTTAATTTGTATCCGTGTACACGAGACAGAGGAAGAAATCATTTCACAACCATTCTTCCAAATCAAAACAAATATCACATGATGAAGTCACTGACCAAAAATATGGGTCCTAGTTGACTTGTTGACCATAAATGGAGTTCTGCAAAGCAGTGCAGACACACTTTTGTTGCTGAATTTAGTTAAAGGAGGACAGTACAAGACCATAGAGGGTAGTTTATTACTATTTCTTTTAATATTGATTTGGGTGATTACCCACACGCACACAATTACATTTTGTAGTACAATATATGTTTACACTTCACGATTAAAAGTGCAAATCCCTGTATCAAACATGCTTTTCACAGGCACCATGTGTCATTATACTGTCCAAAACCTGAAAAACAACAGCAATAACGATACTGTATTAAGACATCAAAAGTAGTTATGGACTGTGTCCATAATATCTGAGCTTTTTTAAAATGCACCTCTTCATTTGCAGGTTAGATTGTGTCCACTGAGGTAAAAGAGCACCATGCTTTATCATCACTTCCAGTTCATTTATTGTGTGGAAAACTGATTTAACATCTGCTACTGCCACCATACGGAGGCAGCACATTTTTATGCCTCTGATATTTGGTGCAACTTTAAAAAAAGCACGCCAAAAATAGAAAAAATTAAACCGCAGAGATCTAATTTTGATCTCTGATTTGATGAGAATACTTAGTGAACTCATAAACACTGTGCAAATCACCACCATTTCTTATCCCAGTGGGATACTACAAAGACATAACCAACTACTAAGACACAATTTTCTTCAAAATGATGCATTTTTTTATGTTTAACTTAGAATATTGCATCGGGGCCCATTCTTCTTTCTGTAAGGCAAACATATTCTCTCTGGACACGTCTTTGTTTTATTCACTTCCAGAGGAATCAGCTCAGACAGGAAACATGGAACCAAGGCGGAAGGAGAAGGAGGAGAGAACCACTCTGAGTCTCAACTTCCATCTGGAGAGGACAAGAGACGACTTGTGAATGACACCTACACAATAATAAACACTAAGAAACATTAAGAAACATTAAGCAGTGGTCAGCCGTGCAACCGGACACGTCTTAATTTATCTTAAATAGATCAACTCTGGTGAAATCCTCGAGACCTCAGTTTAGATTTCAGTCCACAGCTTTTTAGGACTGTATGTCAGGTTGTTTTGGACCACAGTCTCTTCTACAACCAGCAGGGATAGTGTTGTGAGTGAGTAATAACTTGTTGTATTCAGCAAGGCTTTCCTTGAAAAATATAACCTTTATTTGGCAACCTCCATGTTTGATTGAAAATCTGTAAATAGAATCTGGAATTATAGGTGCTCACAAAAGAAAAAACCTTTTACTTTATTTAAGTTCATCTTGCATTAGCCAAGAATAAAAAAACACACACAAAAAAACAGGTGTTTCTGGATCTTGTGTAATGTTTTTGTTTTTTAAGCATGGTTCAGCTTTCACGTCCTATTTGCAAAAGGAAGAAGTAGGAAGTATCACCTGAAGCCGATTGCTTACTTTCAAAATAAAATGAATTAATATGAGATATGAATTTAAGATGGAAAATGAAGACTAAAAACCACTCAAATTCTTTGTTTTTAACATGAACTCAGCTACCCTATGAGATTATTTTCTGCATAGATTATTCCTTTTTGATTTTTTAACACATTTCCATAGCATCCCGCTCAGTTTTTGAAACATAATCATGGAATACGGATGGTTTCTTCAGTAATACACACAACTGCAGCCATTTCGACAAATAAAACCTTCCAGAAAATATACATGAAATCCTGCAAAAATGTTTGTGTTGAGAAATGAATGGGGTAATGTAATACTCCAGTTGGAGTGTAAAACACGTGAATCAAATTTGTTCAAAATAAACTGTAATCATTTGAGTTATTAAGTTGTATAGAAATTGCCCACAGATCTGCAGTTTAAACGTAAATGTTTTTACTACTCAGTAGTAGTGTTAATAGTGGTGCTAAGAAAACATGCATGTTGGGTTAATTGATGATTCTAAATTGACTTGTGGCTGTCTTAAGTTTTACATTATATGGATAGATGGCAGTATGGAGCAACTTTCATGGACCCTAATCTGTAAAATCAAATGCTGCCACAAGGGGCCAGCAGAGACAAGAAGGAACTCCATGCTGGACGTTAACATTTCAATCTTAGATTTGTAATATTCAATTTAAGGTCATGAAAAAAGCCAAACATATTTTTTTCAGTTCAAATCTGGCACTTAATGTCAACTAGTCCCTTCAAAGTTTTTTTTATTTCACAGTTTAAATTAAAATGTAGTGATTATGGGAGTTTAGCTGCATTGTGAAATTAAAAACCTTTTCATTTTCTCATGTGAAATAAGATATTGAACCAATGAACAACATTTGTGGTGGCTGTCAGTCTAAATATCCATTGTGAAATTCGATCATTTTACTTTATTTTGTCAAATAAAAGCCTTAAACCATACTTCCAGATGGGGCCAGTGCTGTGTGTGTACCTGGGCCCTGCAGCACAAAAGATGTGTGTGTCTCCGGCTGGTGTTGTGTTCATAGAAAACAGCCGATGTAGGCCCAAACCCTCTGCAGGATGAGCAGGAAGGCCAACAGGTAGAAGAGAATCGTAACGACCTAGAGAGAGGGGAAGGGGAAGGACGACAGAGGGAAGAATGAGGCAAATGTAAAGAGGATGTTTTTATTCTTTTAACACTCGGCAGCATCGATTTTGTGAGTTTCTTTACCAATGTGATAGATTCTATTGATGAGAAAATGAATGGAACCTTAAGGACTGGCATCAGTTTTGCATTGAAACATGTGTTCAGACTCCCGTAAAGGTTCTCTAAAGCAACACCCAACAGGGGACAGTAGTTTTTGTACTCTACCTGCTGTGTGCTCATCCCCTCCTGATCGCAGTCGTTTCCCTCTTTCGCGGGATGATGGCCGTCAGACGTCTCTACTTTTTCTCGGGATTCCACCCTTTCCTCCCGGCCACCTGTCGTAATCTGATCGTGTCCTTTTCTTGAGTCCACGTCCTCTTTGTCCAGCTGCATGGGTTCCTCCACAGACTCCACCGGGTCCCTGGCCGTTTCCCTGGCCGTTTCCCTGGCCGTTTCCCTG